GTGCGCGCGAACCAATGACACACACCGCCTCACCCGACCTCACGTCACCTCACATCACCTCAACTCACCTCACCTGCATGTCAAAGCAGAGACAAAAACATAATGTGATCTCACCCACTTTTTTTCTTTTCCCTCGTATAGGGTGCTGTGGTTGCTGTGGTGCTGCTGATAAGTGCTCGCTGTGTCTCCTCAATCCTCTCTCTTTGATTGGCGTGTGTTGGCTCATCTCCCCTCTTCTCTCTTGTTGCTTGACTGCAGCGTTGCTTTGCTTCACACACACACATACACACACACACACACGGCCTGGCTGACGTGTCTTCTCAACGCATTTACTTCCATCCACACACACACACACACACACACACACACTCTCTCTCTCTCTCTTGCCTTCCCCATCTTTGAGCGCTGGGAGCAGTGTAAGATTTCAGCGAGTTCACACACACACACACACACACACACACACACACACACACACACACACACACGCACACACACACACACACACACACACACACACACACACCTTCCCCTCCCTCACACCAAACACAAAGGCTCAGCATCACATGTTGGTTGTCTTCGACGATGCTTGTTGTGCAGCGTCTGCACGGGGACGGTTGTTGCGGGCGCGCCGCAGCTTGGTGGTTGCAATGTCCATTTTCGCCATGAGCCACAGCAGCAGGACGGTCCCCAGCCCTGCGATGGAGGCAATGACGATCCATGCGGGCGACCCGTACACGGTCCGCACGCGAAGAACCACAGCGAACATGCCCACGACAGTGGAGACGGCCGTCAACACTGGCGGCAGCGTCGCAGAGACCAAGGCATAGTGGTATAAATACAGCCCAAACTCCTCAGCCTACAATGGCGTGTGTGTTCATGAAGGGGAAGGAGGGTGAGATGAGGGTAGCAGTGGGTGCTCGAGAGCGCGTCAGTGCTCACGGAGCGTCACAGTGTTTGCTGCATGTGTGTGCATGTGCGTGCTGATTGTTGGTGTGCGTGCAGCGTCGTCGATGCCAGACCAAAAAACAGCCCGATCAACACACACACACACACACACACACACACACACACACACACACAGAAAGACAGACATACAGACGCACGCGCGCGCACACACACACACACACACACACACACACACACACACACACACACACACACACACACACGCACACACACACACACACACACACACACAGACACTCAAGCATACACACACACAACTCTCTTCCTCCTTCCCCTTCTTCCGCCCCCTTCCCAACTCAACCAAGGCGCAACTGACCGTGTAGAGGCTGGCGTATGCGTAAAGGATCACAACAAGCGTGACGCAGAAGATGTTGAGCAGGAAGGAGATGCCCGCGGCGTGTGCGTAGAGCTGCTCCTCCCAGTGGGCGTGGTCAAACGGTTCACCTTCGCGCACAGGTGGTGCCTGCAAGCCAGCAATGAAGAAGGCGCCCAGCAGGGCGCTCACCACACCAAACGACGTCAAGTGGCCCTCCATCGCGGCCTTGGCCTTGTCCCCACCATCCTCCTTGCAGAAGCTGAGCCAGTTGAAGTACACCGGGTTGCTGCTCCGTGAGCCCGTCATGAGCTCGTCCAAGCTCGGCACCTCCCCATCGCCAGCCATCGTTGTTGTTGTTGTGCTCGTTGACGAGAATGAAATTGCACACAATCGCCACACACAACAAAGTCCTTCCCGCTGCTGTCATGTCGGAGACGACGACGACGAGGAGGAGGAGGAAGAAAAGGGAAGGAAAGACGCGGGGCGATGGCCGTGGAGGGAGTGCACGGACGCCTGGAACACGCGGTGGCCGTACAACGTTGCAGCCTGCCTCCAGCTCCTCCCTTGCCCTCAACTATGCCATGGCAAGGGCCGAGGACGGCTCCGAAGCCCTCACCACGGGCCGCATCAACCTCATGTTCGCAGCCCTCGCCAAGCTGATCCCACACACGGGCCATCTCAAGGTACAGCCAGCCTTTCACAACCCACGGCCATGGTCCTGTTTGGTTTGGTTTGGCTTGACATGTGCGTGTGTGTGGGTGGGGGGGGGTGTGGGGCGGGAATCTGAGAGTGGTGTGGCGTGTGGTGGGGGACGGGGAGGTGCACGCGCACACGTGCTGTGGTATAGTTGAGGGCGAGGGAGGAGGGAGGGGGAGGGTGACGTGTTGTGCGCCCAGCGTGTGTTCGAGGCGTGTGC